GCCACTGGAGAGCAAGATGGAAAGGGGATGGGAAGCATACCTCCCAGAAACTTCCCGAATCTTGGAACTGGTGGTAGAAGTGATGCTAGTAGTGAATTTAATCCAAGATTCCTTTTGGCACTGACGTTGAACCTGCTGAGCATGGGCACGGGCCCATTGATAAACAATGCGGACAGAAAGAGAGGGATATCGTCGGAAGGTATCCCAGGCCTGTTTTTGAGCCTTCCATGCCCTCTGACAGGCAGGACTCCACCATGGACGAGGATACCGTGGAAAGCGTGTCAAGGTCTTAGGAATAAAACGAGGTGCCGCCTGGACAATACAGTCAGTTACTGCAACCACACAGTCGTCTATTGATGGCAGACAGACGAAGGCAGAATCAAGTTCAGAGAGAGAGGTGAAAGATGGTCAGTTAGCCTGGTCCATCTTCCACCGTGGCACTCGGGTCGGGTGGCATCAACCATGGCCAACCTCCCTCATAATGATAGGAAAATTATAACTGCCCCGTGGGTCACAGTCAACCATCCAAGAAAAGAGAGTGAAAAGTGAAGGGGGAGCAAATCGAGAGATCAATGGCAGTAAAAGACTGACTAAGTGCATGAAAATAAATATATGTACCAGTATTGAAGAGAGAAAGGTTGTGATCCGAGAGCATACGCTCAATGGAACAACCCCTCCCGTCAATATCAGCACCACCCCTCAGGGTTTGTGTCCATTAAAGTCTCCCAGAAGTAAAAAGGGAGATGGCAACTGGTCAACGAGAGCATCAAGGTCCAATTGATCATAAGTCTCCCCAGGAGACAGGTAGAGAGAACAAACAGTGATGGTACAATCCAAGAAAACACGGATGGCTGTGGCCTCCAAGGGTGTATCGAGGGACACAGATAAGAAGGGCACATGCTGGTCGACCAGCAGTGCCACCCCTCCATGCACCCACCCATCACACAACCTGTCATTCCAATACAGAGAAAATTGCTGAAAGGTGACTGTATCGGCAGGTTTCAGGAATGTTTCCTGCA